TGTAGCTGAAATTTGAATTACAGTAATCGGATATAGTCACTTTTATACCAGTCCCTGACAAATTTCCGCAATTTTCCAAATCCTAGCTGGTCCCTTCCGGCCAACAATTTGCGAGGTAGATAACCATCTAAATCCGTGAGCCAACATCCGTATAACCTGTTGACCTATGGTAATTAGGTGGTTGTTTGGTGGCAGTAGTGGTGGTTGTAGCAGCAGCTGATTAGCGTGTCGGGACATAATCCCCCAGAGCATTTGCACCCCCTAGCGATAGGGCGGGTAGGGCAAACCTGGTCAACTGGAAGTTTATAATAAGGGTACAGGACGAGGAGGTCAATATGTATGTTTTCAACTTCAGTGATTTTTTAAAACCTACAAATTGCAAATTGTCAAATTGAATTTCCGCACCGTTTTCTCGACATATTTTTTCCTGAACTTTATGACAATTAAATGCTTAAAAACTAGAAAATATAGTTAAATCACAGTTCGGAAATTCTAGAACGTCAAATTTTCGTCAAAAAAGATTTGATTTTTGCACAAATTGCACAAATTCTCTCTCTCTCTCTCTCTCTCTCTCTCGCTCTCCCACTCTCTCTCGCTAGCTGTCGCTCATTCGCTGTCTATCACTCTCTATGTCTCTCGCCATTTTCACGCCATTTAAAAACCTTATTTTTATCTCCAAAATTCCCCACCGCCCCCTATTTTCACATCCCTGAAAAATACAGCCAGATTATGTGCGGGTGGTTGCGTAGGGCCGGGGCTAGTCGATTGTGAAGGGATGTCGTGGATGGATGGACAGGGAGGCATACCGGGCAGGGGAAGGAGGGATACGGTAGCCTGAGCTGATTATGGGATTTGGGTAGGGTTCGCGTGCTAGGTCTAGTATCTAGTGGTTTGTAGGGTGAGTGATGTGGACGGGCATGGGATAAGTTTCAGCCGGGAAAGCTTGATCCTGGGGGTACTGTAGTGAGGATTACGCGTTTTAGCGTAACCGTAATTCAGATAATACCATAGCGCAGCCTACTGTAATCATAACATATACCGTAGTCTAGCTTACCGTAATCCGCAACATACCATAGTATTGCTTCACCATCCGGAAAGTACCGTTGCCTACTGGATCATGATTCTGATCATACCTCTGGCAAATACCGTACCGCCTTTTCCATAACCTTGGAAATACCGTAGCCTAGACTATGGTAATTCGGAGGTCTATTAATACTGTAGTACGGATACGATAGTATCGTAAACGTGGTGTACCGTACTACTGCGTACTACTCCATTCTTGATGCTTGCGAGTTGCAAAAATTCAATCTCAAGTCCTCGGGTTGATTTTGCATGACTTCCTGATTCAACCTGGCTGGCTAGGCTACAGTAGTCTTAGCCATGGTATCCCAACGCAATAGACAAGGAAATCCACAAGATATAGCAATGCCCATTTCAAAACCCAAATTTTAATTATTTTGCGGTCCCCCCTGAAATTTTCTTTGAACCGTTTGAATGGATGGGTTTTATTCGGTGAAGTCAGGAGGCAAGGCCACACACAACCGCCACGATGCGTCTATTTATTTGTTCTACTCTACGTCGACGCGTGCCGTCTTTGCCCATTTACGGATTTATGGCAGGCGGGGCGGAATTTTCTTTTGATGGCTTCAAAACGGGCCGCAGTCAGAGAGGGGAGAGAGGGGCGAGAGAAAGAGAGTGACTGAGGAGAGTCGAAGAGGTGATGAGGTAAAAAATGTAATTGAGGTAGGAGGAGAGAGACAGAAAGTGCGAGAGAAAGCGAGAGAGAGAGAAAGAGAGGCAGAGAGCGAGAGAGAGAGAGAGCGCGGGCGACAGAGGTACCAAGATAAATGATGTGGTTGACAGTGGCGGAACTCCATAGAGCTCCGGAGTGAGAGTAAGCGAAGAGAAAGATTGGAAAAAGCGAGAGCAAGAGACGGAGAGAGAGCGAGAGAAAGCGAGCCAGAAAGAGCGAGAGAGCGGGAGAGCGAAACCAAAAAGATGCCTTGAAACTCTAAAATCCTTCACATTTATTTCAAGGTCAATTCCACTTTTTTCAGCCCTCCACCAGGCCGATCACATAATTATGATCGGTGGCGGGGCCTTGAGGCGTCTAGGTTTTGATGCGAGAGAGAGAGAGAGAGAGAGAGAGAGAGAGAGACAAAAAGGCAAAAAATGATGATGTGAGGGTCAATGGTACCGGCGGCTGACCGTTTGTGCCAGCCGTCCCGTGGGCTGCTGCTCCTTTCCGGCCAATTTGAATGCCGGATTGGTGTGGTTTCGAGATGATGCGGCGGTCACCTTTGGTTTGATTGACGGGGCGATGGGTACGGTAATGAGGGTCATCAAATAGAAAAAGATGCAAGATGCGTGGATGCGTTGAGTCGGCTGTAGATCAATGAGACCCCAACCTTGTAACCGTAAAATCTTGATGTTTGACGCGTTGTGGGATTTAGTGTATGCTGCCAAGAAAATTTGAACAACTGAACTCAACATGAACTCATTTTTCTAAACCCCATCCTCTAGACGGTAGCTGCCACCAATTCCACGCTGTACTGCGGTAACCGTGGCTATTTGCCCATCCTATTATCCCCCCACCTGATGATGCTCGGGTCAGCCACCAGCCAGTGTAGATTGAGTAGCCCGATAAGTTGTATATATTTGTTTGTAGACAACCTGGTGGAGTACGTGTCAATCCGGGCTGATCCTATACACAGGCATTATTTTCTAGCTCATGTGGCCTGGAGGGTGTAGTATTAGGTGGCGAGCTGAGATGTTGAGATATCTACAGGGTGCGTCAAAAAAAAAAAGCCAAGTTTGCACCAAAATATCTCGCTTATAGTAGAGAATCGAAGGTACGTTACCATGCCAGAATGCTTAAATATGCTGGGTATGAAGATTTAACACAACTTGATTTTTTCGATTTTTGAGTACGCAACTGTACTATTGACGCTGGTTACGACCGAAAATTGTGCGTTCTTGAACGGGTGGTGGGAAAATTCTGATTTTTGGCCCAAAAATAGTTGATATTTGTAGAAAGATAATAGCAAAGTCTTCGAATTTTTGAAGGTTTAGTTCTTTTTTTAAAGGCAAAACATATTTCCCTATTTTGCTTATTTTTACTTTTTAATTCGCAACTCGCTTCAAATACTCTGCCCATGGCTGACCTTTTGCAGATGGTGTCTCCGAATGATAATCTTTAGCACAACACCAAATTTTACCTGATTCTATGGTATTTTAATATTGCTTGCTAAAACGTGCCCCAGAGGGATATTGTAGTTTTTGTTTTTCGGGTTTTTCTTTTTATTGTAAGCTGCGATTTCGCTTAAAATTTTATCATTGGTAAACATCAGTAAGGGTCACCTATTGGCCAAAGATTGTGGAGTTCTAGCCATAGACCTTCCCAAAATATGCAAAAAACTTATTTTTGAATTTAGCCACGGAAATTTCTAAATATTTTGATGCATGGGACTGAAAACTGCTATTATTTGTTTTCCCGAAAGATCGAAACGTTTCTATGGTGAAAACAACGAGAAATCGGCGATTTTCAGTTTTCTACAGTAACCCGCCTGGAGCGCGTTTTAGCATGCCAAGACAAAATTCCATAAAGTGCCAATTTTTCAACTTTAGAATGTTCGCTGGGTAATTATGAGGACGCAGGCAAAAAATGACTTACTTTCTGTGGTAAATGACAAAGTTATAAGAGAAAGAGGAAAACCCTCCTCGGGGCCCGATTTTGGATCCGAGTTCCGGGGCCGAATATCGAATTTTTGAAAATGAAAAAGGCACCGGAGTTTCGTGGATACAATTAAATTACGCATAGAATGTTGTAAGAGAGCAGAATTCTGGAATGATCTGACTGAAGTTAATGGTTGATTTTGATTTAAAACCCGAAAATACCGTTTTTTGAAAAGCCGACTTTGGGGAGCTCTTCTAAATTCGTTTGCCATGAAAAGGTTTTTTATTTGCATGGGTTCTAGTTGACTACCCAAGCTGAGTTTTTGCCAGAAAAGCCGGGGCTACTAAACCCTCGAGAATTTTTTACGTCGCCTGGAATTTGGGTATATTTGCCCTTTTCATGAATTTCTTTTGAGAGATCGGATGGCCCAATAAATTTGTAAATATAATTTTAGAACGCGCCCATTAAGTAGTATTAAATAAAATTATGACAATAATTCTAACCGCGCAAATGAATTTTATAGGCTGGCACTAAGGTCTGCGAAATAGCACGAACCAACCGTTTTGGCGGCGCTAAAAGGCAACCTTCCAAAGGGGTACGGTAGCTAGAAATTCTGTACATGATAGATGGACCCCAGTGCTACACAACAAAGCAGAGAAAACACCGAAATTCTCACTGCAATTTTAGAAATATTTTTCCAAAGTACGGTTTCGTGACCTCGAAAGAATCCATGACCAGGGGGTCGTCGAAAAACTCAAAAATCCGCGGATCTGAAAATTTTTTTTGATATTTTTGCGGGATTGTATCGAGCCTATAGACATGCTAAAACAGCTTATTTTGAGGTTTCCACCATAGGTTTTTGTAATATTCGAAATTTACGAAATTTCTCCATATTAAATTTGAGCACGCTATAACTTGCCAACCAGACCTTCGAAAATTCCAAAATTCCGGCTGTGCGTAGGGGCAGTCCTTAGGTACCTACACTGTAAAAATTGGCAGTGTTCGACCACCAGCAATCCAAAAAAATGCAAACAAAGTTTTGCCGGAACGCACAGTTTTCGGGTGTCATTTGTATGGGTACGTCGCCAAAAATCGAAAAAATCAAGTTGTGTTAAATCTTCATACCCAGCATATTTAAGCATTCTGGCATGGTAACGTACCTTCGATTCTCAAAGATAAGCGAGATATTTTGGTGCAAACTTGGCTTTTTTTTTTTGACGCACCCTGTAGGTATCTGAAGTCATATAAGACGAAGCTCTTAAAATATTTTCCCAGTCCCTGACTGCCCTATCCACAACCGGCTATTTGCCCAAATTGGGTCCACATGCCTTCCCTCCTGTTCCTCTTCCACAGTTTCAAGTCCGTCTTCGGCCTGTTTTGGGGGTGTCTCCAGGTAGTGTGAAGACTCTTGACCTCACCCTCGCAGAGTACAGAGGCATCCCACCGACAGCAACCACCGCTACTGCCCCTTGGCCCACTTTCTCGGGGGTGGAGACTGGAAGACTGGAAACTGTGACTTTTGGGAAAGACCTTAGGAGGACAGGGAGAGAAAGATAGAGAGAGAGAGAGAGAGAGAGAGAGAGAGAGAGAGAGAGAGAGAGGGCAGGGAATAGAAAGGAAATGAGAGTCGAAGATAGTATTATCATCCGCCGTAAAATCTGAAGCTGGGTTAAATAATTGAAAAATATACCTTAATTAACTGTTAAAATAGAAATTAATTGAAGTTTAACAAAGAATAATAGGAAAAGTGTTATAATCCTCATTTCCAGACCCAACCCGACTTTGATGACTTCGACATGGGCGGCTTCGACGATCAACCCTTCGACAATGATCCGACCCCAATGGCCATGGCAGATCCGGTCCAGGATGAACCGGCGGATACGGTAAGCCTAGTGCAGTTTGTGGAATTATGAAATCAACCTTTCTTACTTGCTTCATCTCTCCTTTCAGAGCCTCGAAGAGAAAAAGGAGGAGCGCGAGGACGGCAAGTCGAAGAAGGAGCGCAGAAGTCGACAGGTTCAGGAGGTACGACTTTAGCTATTCTGTAGTTTGTAAGCTCTGGTAGCCATTATCTCTAGCAGATACCGCAAAGCGGCCACTTATTTGGAGCCATTTCCGCGTTTAAACAAACAGACGGCACACGCATGTGTGTGAGCTTGGCTTGAGAAAACAGATTATTGCGTCGTTTATGGCGCAGAAATAGGGAGCGCTAGGGCGTACTGTAGCTTACTGTAGCTTATCAGGGATACGGTAGGAACTCGCAAACAAATCATTTTTAGGAGGAAGACCTTGGAGAAGGAGATGAGGAGCACCGCTTCACAAAACGTACCCAGAATGTGTTGCATTCAATCGCGCAAAAGTTGAGGTCCAGCGGCGAGGATCAGGTAATTATTTTTAATGACGCTAATCACGATTTATTGAAAGAAAAATGGCATACTGCAGGCTTCATCACCCGTTTTCCATTTTTTCCGAATTTCCTCAACGAATTGCGCGCTTTTCCTACCATCGCACACAGAGCTGAAAATTCCCTCAATGATAGGGTCCTCAAGGCTTTTCTAAATTTCCAGATTTTTTCGGGTATCGCCCAAATTTATCTTGCACATTTTCTACCGTAGCCGAAGTGATCTGCACCAAAAATTTTATTTTCAAAAGTCCCTTGTTTCCCAGAACAATTCCTGACCGAAATCTTGTTAGCCCCCCAGGATAGGCGTGTGTGTCTCTCTGTCTGTCCGTGTATGTGTCGGCCTCCCCTTCCAGGATTTACCACCGGTCGCCCAATTTGCATAATCGCCTCTCTTCGTCGGGCTCCACCGTCCCCTGGGTGGATCCTCGAGCCCGAGCCTAGAACCTACACAGTCCGCCTATCCACAGCCTCTTAAAGGTCACATCCCCCTCGATCCAGGAGGCATGGCGGCCTTCAGCCTCTCGGGCCTAAACAATTGGACACGGGCGAATACCTACCTGAGATGGGATTGGGTTAGGTTTCGGGATCAGCGGATCGGGAATCGCTTGTTTTTGGCTTATGTTAGGATTAAAGTGACTGAGACAGGAGTAAGGAGTGTTGCTTCGGAATATGCACATATTTTCCTGTTTTTTTATTTTTTTCTTGGCCCCCGATTCCCCCCCCCGCCCGCCCAAACTAGCGGGTTTTTCGGGCTAGATTTATAAGGAGTGCGATGAGGATTTTCGAGGCTAGAAAATGAGAGAGAAAGAGAGAGATAGAGAGAGAGAGCGAGAGAGAGAGACGCAGAGGGCAAGGACATGGACGGGTCCCTCAAGCACCTCAAGACTTGAGTGGCCAGCCGTAGTCGACCTCCCAAAATGGACATCAAGATCTAGAAAAATCCATATGCGCAGATCTCTTGATCATTTAAAGGGGGTTGTCAAGACAAAAACAAGATAGGGAATTTGTCAGTCGATTCAGAACACGGTCTGAATCGATAGAGAAGCGCTAAATGCCGGTTTTTTTAAATCGGTGAGCCTCCGGTCCTTTAAATCTAGAACAAAATATTTTCGTATACCTTGGAGTCCCTTAAATTCATGTATAACTATACTGTACAGTCATGATTTCCCGATCACCCCTGCCTGTAGCAGCCAGCCACCGTCAGGAAATGGGGGGGGGGGTACAGCCCATTTTCACGGCCCATTGCTCGGTCACGGGAGAGGTGATTCTCCTCGGGAGCCTATCACTGCGGCATTTTTGCTAATTTTTTGTGGATGGTAGTGAGTCATTGTGGGATAAACGGTAGCATTTGGAAAAACAGATAAAATTTGGTTACGATAGCGTTACAGTAGCGCCTTAAAAGGGTTGGGAAGCGCGCGAATCGGCCCCAGCGTTTGGCTAGGTCTAGACAGTTATGAAGGTGCCAAAATATGCCCCAAAATGTGGATTTTCTATGCTTTCTATGAGTGCATAGCTGTGAAGCGTAGTTGTCAAGACCAGTCGCACGTAGAGGCCGGATCTAGCACTTCCGCGGGCCTTTAAACCTGTTTAAAACGCACCAACATCCCGAAATTTGTCTTGCCCATCCCTTTAAAACCCCAAAATCAATGTCATTGTTTCAGATCCTCCTCTCCGACATGTTGACCAAGGCGTCGAACAAGAAGACAGCCGCGCAGAAGTTCTACACGCTGCTGGTGCTCAAGAAGTGGCAAGCGATCGAGGTGGCCCAGGGCAAACCCTTTGATGACATCTCCATCACGTCGGGGCCCAAGTTGGACGAGTCATTGGCGCATTAATGATAGCTTACTAACCGTAAAAAAAAGTGTAATGTGTAGCCGAACTGGTTTTTTGGCGGCAAACTACACCATTTGACGCCAAATTTCTGAAAACAATTTGCTACCGTTAATTTTGTGCCAACTTGATGCGTCTACCTATTTTTGGAGAATCTCCCTTTCCTTGTGATTATCGCCAAAAAAGCTTTTTCCTCCGTTTTTCCGTATTTTCGCAATGCTCCTCATTCCACCCCTACCGTACCCTCCATCGTCTGTCCACACTCACGCCAAACTATGTCAACCGTGTGCATTTAGTCCGCCGCAACCAGCCTCAAAATTGGTGTATTTTCTAAAAAAAGGCTCTGTTTTTTAATTCAACACTTTTCTCTGCCAATACTTAATTTATGAAGTGAATTAATTTGTGCCCCTATTTTTTCACACTTTCACGATCTCCTTTTTTGTAAAAGCTAAGCATGTACGCACCAAAACTTGTATATTTATTTTTTATAATAAAGCTTAACACTGGATTTTGTAAACACGTTAATTTTGTAGCGTTCACGCATTACGAAACAGCAAGAGAAAGAGCGAGAGAAAGAGAGAGAGAGAGAGAGAGAGAGAGAGAGAGAGAGAGAGAGAAAGAGGGACAAAATGACGGAGATAGAGCTCCAGTAATTCTTCGATAAACCGTACTGCGTCTACAGCGTACTTTTTGGTACAGCGTACTTTGGGTACGGAGTACGGTATCGTGCAGCGTACTGTAGCGTAAAGAGTACTATGTCGTACTGCATCCGGTATCGTAGAGCGTACTATAGCGTAATTTGTACCTATCGTACAACGTTCTAGTGCAGCGTTTAAATTATCGAAAGAACGCAGGGAGCGTTCCCAACCCCTTTAAAGAATCCAATATCAGCCTTGTCCATGCTAGGCCACTCGCCATTTAGCCAACAGAAGGGCACCGGGTGTACGCTGTGCTCCTTTCAACGGCTTTCATGGCCCGCCGACCACATCCATCCATCCATCCAAATAGAGACACTACATACACAACCCATCATCCATCTCTTTCCTGCTGCACGGCCCCCCTAACGAGAATGGCCATTTCTATAAAATGACACATCTGAAATTCAGAGTGCCCGCGGGCGATAGGTTACGGTGGAATTGGCAGTAATTAGGGTTTTGGTCAAAACAGTACAAATCCGTAGGTAGTGGAGATCCTTGCGGAAAGCCTGCTTGGATTGGGCTGATTTTAAAAGGACTATGAAGTGAAAGCTTCTTGGCTCGCCGAGAAGAAGCGGAAGGGCAAACTAGCAGAGATCTTTCGGGAATTGTCTCACCTCATTTCAGCGATTTTCATCGGCATGCTAGCAGAGATTCTTGGCCAATCTAGGGCGACACAAAATAGGAAATGAAGGCTAGGGCATACCAGCAAGGCTTCCTTAGGAAATTTCATCTGTCACAACAAGGACAGGCTAGCAGAGATTCTTTGCGAAATCGCGTAAGCCAAAGCTAGCGGAGAGGGTATAGGAAAAGCGCAAAAACCACCCTAAACCACTTGAATGCCTTTAAAAAGTTAAACAATTAAAACGAGGGCGAGCTGACAGGGATTTTATGAGGAATCGGATAATTTTTTTAGGGCATACCAGCAGAGGTTCTTTAAGCAATCTCAGCATCGAAAGAAAGGGCAATCGAGCACAGATTAATGGAAAAACCGCATTAGCATCCAGCTCCTCGTCATCTCAATCTCAAGCTCCTCCTCCTGCTCCTCGTCGTCGTAACCCCCTATAGAAGCACAAGCTTGGAGCTCTGGCCGAGAGAGGAGGGCCTCCTCCCTTTTCAAAGCGAATACAAAAGGGTGAATGGAGACCCATAGTGAGGGGAGAAGAAGGGAAGGGAGGGGGATGTGGAAGACGAATGGAGCGGTGGATTGAAAAGAAACAATGCTTGGTAATGACTGGGAGGAGGAGAAGGAGGAGGCTTGGCTTGGAAAAGGGAGGCAGCCGCCACCACCAGCACACCGCACAATGGAATCGAATGGACCAAGGATGGCTCTACGGCTCTTCTAGAACCACCACCACTACCATTGCCATACATTATGCCGTTTTTGAGCTTGACTTTGCTCTCTATCCGTTTTTTGACCAACTCAGGAACTCAAGAATTCTACCAAGAAAAAGCTATGTTTCAGCGATTTTTTCGCATCTTCTCCCTGCAAACCGCAAAATGCAACATTGACTCTACAAGTTTTAGGATTTTTGCTTTGCATCTTTTTATGCCTTAATTTGTCACCTTGTGTACTAGACCATTAAAAAACTATCTTCTAAAAACGCAAAGAACGCCACTGTAGACCACTCTTTAAGCCCTATCTGGCTATGCATCCGGTCTAACGCGCTCCTGGCCTCATGTGTTGCCTAATTAACAATTTAAACTTTTTATATACTAAATTTTCTCGAATTTGAATGTCGTCAAAAATTTAGAAAGTGCATCGTTTGCTTAGCGCCATCCGTTTTGTCGCAAAGCCCAGAAAACTCTAAAGAAACGCGGAACTTCCGAAACTTTTGCTAATTGGCCTAATCCAGGCCGAATTCGGCAGGTTGCCCGATCATCCAGACCGCTACATGTTTTCACGATATGCATTCAGGCGTGAAATTTTTGTGCCCGCGCCAAAGCGTGACTTCCTGAACTTGACGCTGTTGTTAAGATATTATATGCAAGATGGCAAGATGGCAAAAACCAGCTTAAGAAAAGGAATGAAGACTACTAAAACACGTTCGAAGTCTGAGGATTGAGCACTTTCAGCCTTCAAATTAGCCGGCGCCAGCAACACATTCAGCGTTCGTGGGGAATTAGACCTTTCGTGGCTTACTATTATAATTTACGGAAAGTTCCGTATTTTCGTCAACCCCTCGTCAAAATTCGAACCTGATCCGGATCCCGAAAACCTCACTCTTAGCTATCAAATCCCGAGGCTGTTGTCGTACACCCGTGGCTCAGGGGGATGTCGGTGCCACCCATGTTATGCCCCCCCTCGTGATATCAATATTTGCTGCCGCGAAAAAAGCGAAACCCCCGGCGCGCGCCCGTCTATGACTAAATCTACCGTATTTCGGGTATGGAGGGAGAGCAGAGGAAAGGGGGAGGTTCGTCGAAATATATTGCTCACCCGGGGAGGGGAGGTTTATCGCCCGGAAAACAGGGGGAACGAGGTTTGGCGAAAAAATCCAATAACGTCGGGTTTTTGTGTAACCGATTTTTTTAGATTAAATTCCATTGTGAAAAAATTGGGCGTATTATTGATATCTTAAAACATTTTTACTATACTTCCATATCTGCCCCAGAAAATTAAATTTCAATTATTTGCAAGTTAAAAACATGATTTTCTGATTTAATTCTTTCAAAACAACACTTTTTATGCCAATTTACCCCTTAATTTAGCAGCTAAATGAAGCTCTACTTAGCTAGCCAAGAGTCCGATGACCAGTCGACTCGCACTCCCCAAAAAACGTGTCTGCCTAATCGGGGTCCCGAGACTGTCGTAGCCCAGGCGCGCGAAAAAACGGTGTCGACCTCGGGAATAGGAAAAACAAGGCAAAAGAGAATGAGAATGAGAGAGAGAGAGAGAAAAGAGAAAGAGAGGGATAGAAAAAGAAACTGTAAGTGTCCAATCGGGCGTGACTAAGTCCCCCTGCTACTTCTTATGCCCTTATGGGCGACGGGGCGTGTGAGTGTGGGGTCTACTGTTTATCATAATTCTCAGGAACTTTTTTTTGAAACAGTAGAGGGTCAGGAAGCTTAGGAAAAGTTCAACCTGATCTCTGCTAGATGGCGCAAAGTGTCAGCTAGGCGTCGATCCGGAACTTCTAGAGCGGATGAGAAGTGGCACGCAACGCGCACGCTTCCGAGCAGCCATGATACAGCCGAAGGTCGCGTTGCGTGTCGCGGGTTCTCAAGCGCAACGCCAGGAACGCACTACCGGCTTGCAGGTGGCCACCGAAGGGGCGTAATCGATTACGCTATGCAAGGTGGGATCCGGCCTTACGTGTCACGACCAGATCTAAGAAGCCAAAAATCCGTAGTCATGCCTTGTGCGTCCCTTTAAATGGGCAACTAGTTGGTTTCGAAATTCTTAATGTATTATCGGATTTTTATCCCCGCCCCTCCTTCCACTTCTCCCCTTAAATCCTGTCGCACACCTTCACCCACCCTCCTACGTCGGTGGGTGAATATGCGTGAGGGTTGGGGTCCGAGTGGCCGTGGCCATGGCCCTTGCTGCTCGTGCTCGTGCCCTCCTCCCCTCCAGGCCATTCCATTGTTCAGCGCTGCTGGATTCCCGCCGGGCCCAAAAAGCTCCCGGGCCAGGTCGGTAGGTAGCGAGGTTGTGCGATGGAGGGGAGCCCGATTTGGCCACCCGTAATTAGGGAGTGTAGCGGAGGGGATGCCGATAGGGAGTGTGACTCAAAAATGGGATTCAAATATTGTACGGTAATTGGTATCGCGAGGAAATCCAAATTCCGCAAGGATCTCTGCTAGTTCGCGCGTTCTATCAGTATTTACAAGCATGACGATGCAGCTTTGAATTTTCTAACATTTTTGAACGAACTTTGCTAGCTTGCCCGAAGCTTATGTTTTCCTAATGGTCGCTGCTAGCTGCGTATTTCCACAATGCCCTCAAGTTTAGTTTACAACTTTACAGCAAGTTTACAGCAAGGATCAAGCACCATTTTAATTATAGAAGTCTTTTTAACGGCTTGAAGTTTCCCTGTACTTTCCCCAAATGTCTCCGTCACTCTGCCATGATTCCAAAATTCCGGTTTTTTCGGGTACTAAATGACGGTTGCTAGCTAGCCTGGTTGCCAAAGCCGAAAAGATCCCTGCTAATTCAGTAGACTTCCCTTGAGCAATCAATTTTTAGTTTTATTTAAATCAGCCCATTCGCCATATTTCAATATCTAAATTTACCCCGTATTACTACCACCCCCAATTAGTGCCTCATCCCCCTCGGCAAGTAATCATGCCAAAAGTTGTGTGGC